TAATAGCAGTTTTCGATTGGTCATTCCTCCGCTCTATATGCTCAACTGTTTTACTACAAAATTTGCGTGTGAGAGCAATTGAAGTGGTAACTGTTRCACTCAATAGAAGAGAGTATATGAATATATACAAGTATGTACATATGTACATATACATATGTATGTCATTGCAGTGGCAGTATGGCTTGCTATTTCGTTAGAATATTATATATTGGGTCATTCACTAAGTAATTTGGTTTGAGGATAACAACTGATCTTATTGAATTTTTTCGAAAACAACCCACACTTAAAAGCTCTAGCGTAAGATTTTGTAAACAATTTTCTTAAATTTTTTGGAACAATATTTGTTTGGTATCTATYGAAGATGAAAGCTCGAGAACAGCATTTTCGGCATCTTTTACTGTTTTGCTAACAAAAATGTCTTGAAGCCGATGTGGATAAAATAAAATCATTGGTCGTTACAAATCGTCGAATAACAACTGTCGTCTATTTGGTTTCAAAGATATTGTTTATTTTAATTTTTGGCCCGACAATTCTACGACGAATTCTAAAGTGTTTTGTGATCAGCTGTGATCAAGTTGTGGGATGCACTCAAAGAGAAAAGGTTTGAATTGATCAATAGAAAAGGCGCAGTGCGTCACCAGAATAATGCRTGATCTCATACAAGTTTGATGACWCACCAAAAGATTATATTACTTGTTCCAGTCTTTGCAAAATTTTTGATAGGAGAAMCTTCACCTCAAGACCACTGGAACCAGTTATTTGACTACATGGATAAAAGATTTTATGAGTGTGRAATCAATCTCTTGTGACAATCTTGAARTGAGGCAAAAGATATTGGATTAAAATGAAGAATAAAACAATTGCGTATAAATTGCATTGAAAAAGCGAAATTATTTAGTGAATGACCCACTATCAGCATATTTAATTTATACCATATTTTCTCATAGAATTCAATTCGTCAAGTGTTAGACAATAAGAAACCGAATAAATTATGCCAGCTTCTCGAAAAGATTGGAAACACTTGCAATCCAACCTCTAAGCTTCCTTCGCATGTGACGCTTCTGTTTTTAGTGACGATCTGATTCCTTCSACCCAAAACGCTTAGGTTTTTAATTTTAATATATAACTTATATTCCTAGCTTAACTTTTGAGAGCAATTTGTTATCTGTGCCTTTCGCAAGAGGAAAGTTTGTCTAATATCTGTAGAACATAACCATATGGAATACAAGAAATCTATCTTATCGAACCCACAACACAAACTGTTGCTTTCACATGTAAGAATTTAACTCGAGTGCGGTGCTCTAAGTTGATATTGCTGGCATTGGCGATTGCAGCCCTCAAATGCCTAAATTTATAAGATTTCAAAAAAATCTAGGTWCTTATATTATTATTATATTTTTGTTAATTAAGTTTGTCTCAACGTACTGAAAATTAATAGATTAGCGTTCTAATTTTGTTTCGAAGATTTGCCAAAATTTTTTAACACAAACTCCCCAACATGAAAACAGGTGTTATTTTAAGGCATTACATGGACTTACGCGTTTCAAAAATTCGACTTTTT